CTCGGGCCGTGGCCGAGCAGTGGAGTGGGGCTTCCAAGCACTCAAGGCCCACGTGGGCTGAGTTAGCCGAGGGGAACTTTCCCGAGGAAGGTGCGGGAGGCGTGGAGGGTGAGTCGGACGAGGACAGTGGCGACGAACAGGAGACCCGGGGACCGAAGGCCGAGGGAGCCAAGCCCACTCACAAGGAGGAAGAAACCGAACCGCTTGAAGAAGAAAAACGACTCCTCTATAAGCTTCACGTGAATATGGGCTATCCCGACAACAGGAAGTTCATTCGCGTCCTTCGGGCCGGTGGGACGAAGTCTCACCTGCTTCGATGGGTGCGAAGGAAGTTCCAGTGCTCGGAATGTGCCGAGCGGGCTCGCGTGGGGGTTCACCGGAGGGTCGCTATGCCACGTACGTTTCGCTTTAATCACATTGTCGGAGTGGACCTCTTCTACCTCGACTTTCTGGGGGTTACCCATCCCTTCCTGAATATCGTGGACCACGGGTCTAACCTCCAAGTGGTCGTGAGAATAGCGAATGCCCAGTCCACTACGGTGTGGTCGGAATTTCTGAGGTCCTGGATCCGCCCCTTCGGCGCCCCCCACTTCGTCATATCGGACGGAGGCTCCGAGTTCGGTTCGAGGTTTGCTAGTGGTACGGAGCAGTGGGGAATCTGTCAACACGTGTGCGACGCGGACTCCCCATGGCAGAACGGCCGGGCCGAGCGTCACGGGGGCGGGGTGAAAGACCGAGTAAAGGCCGAGATAGATGCCGGGTCCTCGCTTCCAGGGGACCTCCAGGAGGAGGAGGAGGAGGAGGAGGAGGAGGAGGAGGAGGAGGAGGAGGAGGAGCGCCCATAAGAACAGGTACTGGCAGCGCGGGGGGTTCTCCCCGCTCCGACTCGTCTTCGGCGAAAACCCCCGCCTCCCGCACGACATCCTGAGTGATGACCACAAGGGGCTCCCAGGTTGGCAAGATGCTCTTAGGCCCGCCTCGGAACAGGATGCCGCGGGCTCCGAGTTCTCTCGAGCCCAGGAGGTCCGGGCCGCGGCGCGTCGTATGGCCATGGAGGTGACCGCTCGCGAGAAGATAAGCCGGGCCTCGCGCGCCAAGGTCCCGGGGACCAGGGTCTTCACTCCGGGCCAGTGGGTGTTTGTGTGGAGGCACTTCACCAGAACCTCGTCCAGAGCCAATGCGTTGGGCCGCAGGCGGGACGGGTGGACCGGCCCCCAGGATTGTTGTCCTGAGCGAAGGCGGGACCGTGTGGGTCGCCGTTAGGGCGAGGCTCTGGAAGTGCAGTGTGGAGCAGCTGCGTCTCGCCAGCTCGGAGGAGTACGGTCTGCAGTTGGGCCACGACCCGAAGTGGCAACAACTGATGCAGGCCGCTCAGGCCCGCAGAGTGACCGCTGTCGACGTCATCCGGGAGGGCCCACCCCCCGACGAGGCCTGGGACGAGCCAGCCCAGGCTCAGACGGACCCCGGCCCGAGGGTCCCAGGTGGCGGTCCGGAACCGGCGGAGGAAGCTCCGGCCGAGGCGTCCCCCGCCCCGGCGGTCCTGGGGCCCCTCCTGCCAGGCGGGGCTGGCGGAAGGTCCCAGGCGGGATCCCTGGACGTGGGGGCCCCCTCCCGTCTCCGATCCATCCCCGAGGCGGAGGAGCTTCGAGCGGAGCCGCCCACGGCGCCTCCCTCGCCCAGAGGTTCAGATCCCTCCGGGGATCGAGGAGACGGAGAGGGGTCGGGACCTCCTACTACTACCTCTCCCGCGGTCTCTTCCTCTCCTCCTCCCGTCCTCTCCTTCTCCTCCTCTCTCGGCTCTTCCCTCTTCCGCGCCCTCGGTTGCTGCTTCCCCTTCGCCTCCTCCCGGCCTCGAGGCTTTACTCCCTCGGGCGAGGGTTCGCCGGCTCGCGCAGCCGGAGGACGTGCCCTGGTGCATCCGGGCCTCCGATGCGGCGCGGAGAGCAGTCTCGAGCCCGCCCGAGCTCAAGCGGCCTCGCCTCAGCGAGGCTGCCGAGGACGGGTCCCAGCGGGTCGGGGAGGGCGGGACCTCCTCCTCCCTCTCCGGTGGTGGTGTGGTCCCAGGCGGTCCTCCAGGCCTTCCTGGACCCCCCCTCTCCCCTCTGCTTCCTCCTCCCCTCCGGGCCCGGATTCAAGAGGAGGTCGAGGGTCTGTCGAGCGCGGCTTCGAGCGCTCCCGCTCCGTGTCCGAGCTGGTGCGCGACCTCGAGGTGGCCAGGCGACCCAGGTCCCGCTCACCAGTGAGGCCGAGCGTGTCCGGGGTTTCCGAGGATTTCTGGATCTTTCCGTCGGGCGTCGGGGGTTTGGGCTCCCGGGCCGTCCGTGAGCAGCCAGGAGAGACGAGAGCCGATCAAGTCGGAGGCATTTACGCCACGGGGCGCGGGGGTGAGGTCTGTCTCAAGCGACTGACTCCCGCCGAGAGGGCCACGTTTGAGATTTCGGACAAGAAAGAATGGGACGCCATGATGGGCACCGGGGCCGTCGAGGTGGTGCCCCCCAGCCAGGCCAGGATAGTGCGTGAGCAGCTCCCAGACCGGATCATTTCATCTAGGATGGTGAGGCGTTGGAAACCCGTCGAGGGGACGTTTGCCGATCCGGACGCGAAATCCCGCTGGTGTGTTCACGGGCACCGGGATCCTGACTCCGGCGCTTTGGCCGTGTATGCGCCCACGCCTCAGACATCCTCGATAATGATGTTCCTCCAGATTGCCATCAATCTAGGCATGTTAGGAGACATCGCGGACGTGAAAAACGCATTCTGCCAGTCAGACCCGATGAGGAGAGCCCAGGGTGAGATCTACGTCGAACCGTGCGACGGCGTGGACGTGGAACCGGGGTCCCTGATCCGGCTCCTAGTGAATGTGTACGGGCTGGACGATGCACCTATGGCCTGGCGTAGGACGGTGGTGAGCTACCTCCAGGAGCACGGCTTCGTCCGGAGTCTTCTGGAGCCATGCTGGTGGATCCGGTACGGGAGTAAGGGAGAGGTGCTCAATATGATGCTCCTCGAGGTCGACGACTTCATGATAGCGAGCTCCTCCCAGGAATCCAGGGCATGGTTACGGTCGACTCTCGAGGCCAGGTTTAAGTTTGGCAAGTAGCGTGACTGCCAGGCCGGTCCCGGTCCCGTGGACTTCGCCGGACGCCGACTCACATTCACCTCTCACAAGATTCTGATCGACCAGGAAAAATATATTCTTGAAGAAGTGAAGGCTCTGTCGGTGGCCAAGGGCCGCATGGGTCAGAAGGATGCTCCCCTGGAACATGGTGAATTTAAGGCGCTGCGCTCCCTCGTCTATAAATTCAACTGGGTCGGCCGTGAAACCAGACAAGAAGCTGCCGGCATCGCCAGCATACTGGCGAGCCGCCTGAACGCTTCGACCATCTACGACATTCAGTGCGCCAACAAGCTGGTCCGACACTTGCGGGCCACTGCTTCCAGGGGGCTTACCGTGTGGAGATTCGACCCAGAGCATTTCTCGTTTGTGTCGTTCTCGGATGCCGGAGGTGTAGGAGCCACGGCCAGCCTGGCCGACGACCGGGGTCTTCTGGAGGACCCGACGCAGGGAGCATGGATGGTGCTGGGGACCGACAAGGCTATCATGTCCAACCAGTCCGTCCGGGCCTCCATCCTGGGATGGCGGTCGAATAAGCTACGGCGTAAGGTCCCGTCCACGCTGGCAGCCCTGTCAGCGGCGGTCGCGGAGGTGGAGCTCCTTCAAATCATGTATCGAGATGTCGTCTTCCGGGACGTCGACATCCCAGACTGCCGGAGAGCATCAGGACCGTTCACAACGGTGCTGAGGTCCAACTGTCAGCTGGGCTCCCGGGAGGGACAAGCACATGTCGTGGATGCCAAATCCATCTACGACACGATGCAGAAAGAGGGGAACGCCAGTGCCAAGGACCGCCGGACAGCTCTAGACTTGGCTATCATCTGCGAGGCCCTCGAGAGGGCCGGCGGCAAGGTTAGGTGGGTGCCTCACGGGCGCATGCCCGTCGACTCCCTCACCGAAGACGACATCACGAAAAGCAATGCCGCCCTCTTCGATCTGATGACCCACGGGAAGCTCAGTCTCATCGATGAAAGTGGAGAACTCAGTCGTAGGAAAGAGACTCCGGAGCTCAAAGACCGATCCCAGGCAGCGTCTAGGCGAGAGCTGGCCAAGTCCGAGGTCCTGATCTCCTGGCAAGAGTTCCTGGCCCAGGCAGGTGGTGGTGGTGTGGTTGGTTTCTCCTCTCCCTTCTCTCTCTCTCCCTCCGGCCGGCCGGTCGGACTTCTGCCTTTCCAGTAGACTTCACCGCGGGACCTTGCTGCAGGGCATCCGGGGACAGATGCCTTGTCGAACTGTTGTGCGTTTTCCCGCTTGCAGGGTTTCTATCCCAGTTACAGTTTCTGGGATGCTGAACCTACTAGAAATTCCGACGAGTGTGATGGGATAGCACATTTGTCAGACTAGGTTCAGCAGTTGTGTAGCGAGTTAGGTGTGTATCCGTGATTCGCCTATTGTTATGGCTCAAGGGAAAACATTGCCCAATCCTCCTGCTGCCACACCCAGGAGGCCCCCAAAGGCCGCACCCATGGACTTCTTCCCTCGTCTGGGGGTCGGCGGAATGGGGTACGCCTCTTGAATAATGTTCCATCGCGATCTAGGACTATCAGGACGCAAGAGTCACGTTGGTTCGCGGCGTGGAAATCCCAGGAGATGCGTTATGACACGATTCAGGACTGTCAGGACGCAACAGTCACGCTGCCTCGTGGCACTGAAGTCCCAGGAAACGTGTTCTGCCAGGATGGAGGAGTATCAGACAATTGGCTTCCAATGGGGCACTTCCAGGAATTGAGCAAAACCTGTAAAGACCTATCTATGAAGGGGAACTTGGAGGGCGGGTCTGCTGCAGCACCGTTGATGCGCCTTGGGTTTTCACTGGTCCTCCTCCTACTCCTCCTCCTCCTCCTCCTCCTCCTCCTTCCCTCCCCTGCCTGACCGTCGGCCCCGCCTCGCTGCCCGTCAGGGCGCGCTCGATGTCCCACTCGACGTCGAGGCACCAGACCCAGCCCGAGTGGCGCATCGCGCGGAGGCTCTGGCCCCTGACAAGAAGAGGAGAAAGCAGCAGCAGCAAGAGGAGCAAGAGGAGGCAGCAGCAGGAGGAGCAGCAGGACACGCAGGAGCAGGATGAGCACTGATCCCGTCGCATTGGTAGAAAGGACGGCGGACGCCCTTTCGTCCCAGCGCCCAGCCATGGGGCACTCAAGAAAAGTCCAAGACCGAGGCACATCGCAGAAACGTAGAAAACAACGACCTGCCCTCGCTCATCCTCCCTCGTCTCCCTCTGCGCCCGCTTATCTACGCAAAAGAGCAACGTGAATAAGAACTCTCAGAGGTCCTCGTCGTCGTCATCGTCGTCATCGTCGTCGACGTCGTCGTCGCCCCCCCCCCTCCCCCCCTCCTCCTCCTCCTTCTCCTCCTTCTCCTCCTTCTCCTTTTCCTCCTACCCCTCCTCCTCATCCTCCTCCTTCTCTTCCTCTCCTACGCCTCCTCCTCCTCCTCCTCCTCCTCCTCCTCCTCCTCCTCCTCCTCCTCCTCGTCCTCCTCCTCCTCCTCCTCCTCCTCTCTCCTCCTCCTCCTCCTTTTTCCTCCTCGTCCTCCTCCTCCTCCTTCACCTCTTGTCCGCTCGGCTCGTCGTCGTCCTCCTCCTCCTCCTCCTCCTCCTCCTCCTCGTCCGCCTCCTCTGCCCTCGAAGAAGTAACAATAACACAAGCATGAGCATGAACGTCCACAGGTCCGTGCGGACTTCTTGGATCGGACCTGGCGGCGCCTCCAGCGCCGCCCCAAGTGCCCTCCGCTCACTGGGGAGAAGGGGCCAGCGCCGATCCAAGAAGCCCGCGCGTGCCTTCGAAAGTTTGCCACGTGTGGAGCGTTTCCTTCTTCGAAGCGCGCCCTCTGAGAAAGTGCAGGGCAATCCTGTCGACGTCCCACAGTCGGAGTGTGTTGTCGCTACTCCCGCTGAGGGCCAGGGTCGGCCGAGCGTTGACCATGATCAAGTCGAGAGCCGCCAGCCTCCGCTGAGGCACAATAGCACCGGCAAGGCCAGGCCGAGGCTGGCGCGCAGGACACACCGCTCGCGCTGCTGGCAGCTTGGGCCCCTTCCTGACGCAGAGTGTCTGGCTCCCGTCCCCGAGAGGCGGGGGGTAATATAGAGCAAGGCACCGGACCTCCTATGGTGGTCGGAGTGCTCACCGGGGTAGTCACCATCTGGGACCTGGGTCACCCGACTTCGCGCTTGGTGCGGTTGCCGTCGCGCTCTCGCGCGGCTCCCTGGAGAAAGACAAATCTTTGGCCCAGAACGCGAAGCGTGGCTATCTTCTCGCCCCTTCGGGTGACCCAGGGGAGGGTGTAAGCTGCAGGCGTCACAGTTCGGCGGTCGCGCGGTCTCTCAGACGGGCTGGAGCGCACTGGCGCAGGGCGACCATGATCACGTAGCCAAGCTGCGACCCTGCTGCCCCACTTGCCCTCATCAGCCCTCCCATGCCTGTTGTCCTTTGTCACACTGGCCCCCAGCGCACAGAGGAAGGATGAGGTGCTCGAGGAACGAGGGGGGGCGTCCTCATGGAAACAGGGAGGGCTCCTCGAGGAACCCGACTTGACCCCATCGCCACTGGCCCTCTCGCACAGGAGAACGTGGGATCCGCAGGCGAAGCCTGGTGTTGCCAATGTGCGAGAGAGGCAATAGGCCCGACGACAATTGCAGAAGTGGCCCGTGTACGAGTGTACTGTACAGAATTGAACTAGATTGCGTGAAAGTTGCTTTGCTTTCTTGTCGGGCACGCAGCTTCTTTCCTGTTCCCATCCCTAGTTGGTTGCCGCCCTCTGTACTGAGATAAGCTGCTCAACTGAGCTACAATCCAATATGGCAAACCAGGTGGTGTTGTGATGTATAGGGTGGTCGTGCTTCGGAACGGTGGAGCGACGGATGTTTGGCGCAACGTGTGGCGTAGCCTCTGGCGGAAGCCATGGGGCAAGAAATAGCAGACGTAGCGTGGTGACACACTAAGGCAACGGACGATTTGGTGGATCGCGGGCGTCTGGCGCAACCTGTGGTGCAATCCACGGTAGACGGCGGATGGAGGGTGTGGTGCATCGCGGTGTACCTGGCACTACCTATGGCGCAACCTAATTGTGGCACGCTCGCTGAGGCAACAGGCGATGACGTTGTCCGCGGGGTACATGAAACAACCTACTGCGGAACCTACGGCCTATGGCGCAACTTGAGAGCTCCTTGGTAGCAACATAAGGCTGATGCTGTTTAAGGTCTCCAACAAGAATGAAAAGATCACCCTGCCGAATTGACAAGGTGGTAACGGGTGATGTCTGTCAACCAGGACAATGTTCGATGAAGCTCGGAAAACATAATACCTCCCGGGGCAGTGGAAAGGAGATGGAGGAGAAGGAGCATGGAGGATGTTGGAATTGACAGTAAGAAGGGGAATGGAGGATAGAGTGGGCAGGAAGAAGAGTAGGAGCCGGAGGAGGAGGAGGCACTCTGGGTGTTTATGGCTTCTTCCCTCCGTCCTGCGCGACTACCAAAAGGGTCGGCGGTGACACTCCGCAAGGCGCCCAAGATCAGCCTGGGTACTCTCTCTCGGAATTGCTTCCAGAAGGCAGTCGTCGCCCAGGACGCCACCACCAACCTCTGGCACACAACTGCATTTAGTAAATGGTGCCCCTTCCGTTCCGTCAAGCTGCCTGGCTCGAAGGACCGAGGCGCTTGAAAAGTTGCCTAGAAATAATGACCATGCCAAAAAGGCGGTCATCCGTTCAGGGGATCTTGCACTAACATCATTCGGCCACGCTGCAAGTATGGTTTAAAGTGATGCCTAACATTGGCAAAATCCCACTGTCGTGCGGTCGCGGGCAACTGGCTTGCTGCTCAATCTCAACGCACAAGGACCCGAATTCACCCGCCGTCCTGAAACACACACGCGCACACACACACACACACACCGTGAACGAAAATACAACCCGAACCATCGACCCCCTCTTCCCGTGGCATCTCTCGAGGAGGACCCGCCTGCGAGTCCCGTGATTCGAAAGCAGGGCGAACACGCCTGCCATGTTCTCTCAGAGCGCAAGAGCCTGAGGGAGGGACGTCGAGTCTTCCTGAAAATGAATCAAAGCCCCTCGCCTTGTCAACTTCTGGGGACGACTGGTAGCGTTGCTAGGGCAGGCAGCGAAGCCCGAGGAAGAGGTGACAGAGGACGACGGCGACGACGAGGCTTAGGAGGGAGCAATAGTGTGCATAGATGTGCATGTATGTGTACACATGTATCTGCATACGCTTTAGAACCGCGCGGTGGAGATACAGACGCAACGGTTGACAGAGCGATTGACACAAAACACTATCATAATACTACGTCACATTATCCGGCTTCTTGGTCATATTCTCGAACAAACGGCGGGGGCCGAAGCGACCGAGACGGCAGGCGTGGGAATTCTGGTCTCACCCGCGGCACGGCGAAGCATCAATGGGTTCAAACAAGCTTCGTCCAAAATGGCATCGCTCAAACTTCGCGTCGCCAGTGGCAGGATCGTCGTCTGCGGCGCGGACGCCCTGCACAGCGGCAAGCCGATGGAGGAGCGGCGCCACTTCTTCCAAATGCTGGACCGTTTCCTCGGGACTCTGTCGAGTCATGGGCTGGTGTTTCTATGTGGGGATCTCAATGCCCGTATACGCCGCCGCCTTCCAGGGGAGGAGCCAGCGCTGAGGGAACCCATCTTTGGGAATCCGCACGCGGAGCACAATTCGGTGTCAAGTCGTTCCTTCTTGCTCGAACTCTGTTTCTCAAGAAATTTGCGCATCGGGAACACCGTGTTCGACGAGCTGGTGAAGAGGATACTCACGTGCTACACTTGTCGGTTCGTCGCCGGCGGACCCGCCGATCGAGCGGCATTTCAGCCAGATCGATTTCATCTTCGTCAGTGCGGAGTGGAGGGATTCAGTCAAGCGGGTATGACGTGATCGAATAGCAGCGCTGGTTTCGCACCACGTAGAAATACACAAGGCGACGCCGTCGGCGCCGACGACGCGAAAGCACTGCGAGAACCAGCTTCGGCGAACTCCGTCAACGAGCTTTGCACTGAACACATGCTCTGACATTACTACAGCGAAGATGTCCTAACCCACCAACTTAACCAGGTGATGATTTCAGCATTCCGTGACGCCGCGGGCCGTTGCCTAGCGCTCCAGCCGAAGCGGCTGTGGACATCGGAGCAGACGCTGTCAATCATTCGGCAGCGGAACGACGCCCGCTGGCGACGTCTTCTTGCCCCGTCCTGGGGCGGGCAAATGAAGGTCCCGGTCTGGGGCCCCGGGCCCGGGATCTCCCTGACAGGTGTACGTGTATATACATTCCTACAAAATTCGATTATAATAATTGGAGGGGGATGCCGGGCTTACATGCAGCAGCTTCGTCCTTAAGAGAATACACGCGTGCAATATTGAACCGCGGGAACTCGCTCTACCTGCGTCGGCCAAAGCTCGAAGCCGTCGCACTGACAAAGGGAAACTGAAGGCGCAGCTGCCCCAGGCCAGGGAGATGCCATCCGCTTCTTCCAAGTGTTAAAGGCAATTGTCAGCTCAACTGACGGACGCTCGGCATTTACGGTGAGCACAAATATCTACGACCGTTGCGCTTGGAGCACAGGGGCGACGGATGTCGACGAAGCCCACCGATACACCAGTCTTGACAACCACTGCCCAACTGAAACGACAATCTGGCATGGCATAGTGCCATGTGCGGAACACGCTCGGCAAGCAGCATCTGTGAACCATCCCCGTGGGGTGATCGAGGAATTGGAGCGAGTGTGAGTGAGAGAGATAGATAGACATACATATGTATATATATATATATATACAGCAATAAAAGAAATAAGAGAGAGAGAGAGAGAGAGCGAGCGAGAGAAAGGGCGAGACAACACACACACATATATATATATACACACATATATATATACATGTATATATCGAGAGAGATAGAGGAACAAAAGGTAAAGAGAGAGCGAGAGACACCATCATGCTAGACCCCCTACCGTTTAGAAGTAGATATGAGTCCGGATACAATTTAGCCGCTTGCGAACACTACGGCTCTTCAGCGACGCACGGCTCAAACAGGACTCTGGCATCCTGGAATCGATCCTCCTGCCCTTCTTCACCATTTGCCACTTGCTTTGCTTAATAACCTGCCCTCTACTAGTATCTCTCCTGGACGGCCTTCTCATTGTCATCGAGACGTGAAGTCGCTACTCCATGTTGCCACTTCCCATATCCGCCGCCGTCGTCCACTGAGTATAACTTCTCTTCGTCGTTGTCGTCGCCATCCTCCTACGCAGTACGACCTCTATCATCATGCGTTCTCTCCCTCCTCGTCTTCATGTCTCTCATCCTCCTTCCCCACGGCACAGCTCCTTTTCCCGATTCGTGCAAGATATCTGGGTGTCTCTTGGTTCGGCCACCCCTCTTCATCCTCCACTCATCCGCTCACGACCTCGAGGACGCGCTGGTTCATGACAGGCACCCCGGCCACATTGAACACGACGCGCTTCACCTGATATGATTCTGCTGATGGCGAGAGCAAAACCACGGACCCATGGCGTCAGCTGAAGGTGCCCAGGCGAGCACCAACATTTCCCACCTCGTCCCCCCATCATTATCCCCCACACCACGTCAGCGTAGACAGAAGCATTGCCAAGCGAAGCGAAGGCATGGATCCCACAAAGTCCAACCCCTGAGAAATATTATCTCGCTTCAGCGGCACCGCGAGACGGATCGCACAACCATCAAATGCGTAAAATGGAGCCCGAAGGGAGAAGCTTAGGAAATAGGAGAAGGAGGAGGAATGGGAAACCTTCGACCTGACAAAGGTCAACCGCAGGCGTGAACGCCAAATGATTTAGAAGCTCGGGCAACGACAGGAACTCGATCAGAGTCGCCCGAGTCGCTGCCGACGGCAGGATTGGCAGGAGGAGGAGGAGGAGGAGGAGGAGAAATATAAGGATAGGGGCGACGAAACGAGGCACTAGCCTAACACCGCGCGATGGCCAAACTTCACATCGGTGAGTCGGTGCGCGTGTTCGTGGACGGGGTCATCAGGCAGACAAGAGGATGTATGCTTCCCTCAGGCCCAGGTGTCCACATCGATAAGTCCACAACGAGATGAGGATGAGGAGGAGGAGAAAAAGGCAGGAGAAAGCAGGAGAGGCAGGAGAGGGATGGGCAGACGGAGTGGGCAGCTTGGTTGCCAGAACTGCTGGCCCAGGCGGACGAACCTGTGAACCAATGCTGCATGGAGCTTCCTTCTGGACCCAACAGGTCAGACCACACAAACATCTAGCACAGCACAAAAAGGCAACGGTGATGAGGAACGCGACGACGACGTGGAGTGGCGGGAGCGGGGCTACATTGACACGAACATGTCCCAGTCTGGTACCAAATGCGGGCACGGTTGCCCAGGGCCCCACGCACAACTCAACAGTGCTGCGGCAAGCGCGCCGAATTACGATCGAGAGGATGCGGATCACAATTAAACAGACGCGCGCAACTGAATCACGCGTGTGGCTACTAGCTGGCGTGATGGGACATACCGAAAGCTATGCTTACGAGATGCTGGGCGCAAGCGTGGCCAGAGACCACGGCAAGACGAAGCCGCGGAGCGCGTCGGCCCCCTCTGCGGCGCGGAGGCCACGTCTTACCGCGACGATGTGCCTTCTACGCGCAGCAAAAACTCCAAGAGCCCGACATGCAGACATCGTTGCGCGAAACAGCCAGCAGAGGGCGCCAGCAAGGAAGAAGATGAAGCGAAGGCAGGGTCGAGGAAGAGGAGAGGAGAGAGGACCGTGGGGGAGGGGAGAATACCCGGGGAGGACAATGCAGCAATTTACATTCTGCGGGAGAGGTACAATACTCGCACAAGGCTGCACATCTTCCTCGGGAGTTAGGAACGGCAACGCTCCGTAGCGAAAACCCCGCCCCCTCAAAGATGTTCTAGCGCGGTCAATCGTTGGATCCTCGGACAGACATGATTCGAGGTAACAATCAAACCCTTGATAAGAAGCTGTGCGGGAACTCTGTCCGCGAAAACGATGTCAGATCCACGCAAACATAAACAGTGTACACCTCAACATGATTCGCAACAACATTGGAACCGTGCATCCTAAATCCATATCCGCGTCAAGTCCTCTCATACATTGAGCAGGAACCGACCGTCCCGGCATTCCTAGAGGCCTACCACGAAATGTCCTTAAAATCCCAAAATGCTCCAATAAGAAAACGATGCGCTTAAAACACAATCCCGATGTGTTAAAACAAGACAGCCGCAGGCAGCAACGTTCTAAGAACATTTCGTGCAGACCATAACAGGTTATCATAACATTCTTTGGTAGGCCTATAGGCGAGATAGGACGCTTCGCTACTGCTTGAATAAGCCCGATTGCCGATTGCCACTGTTGAAGAGATCCGTTCCAAGCCCAGCAAAGAAACACTCCCTCCCTGGGGATGCAGAGACCATCATGGACTTCCGAGGAGGGACGGCGCCAACGGAGGCGATGTCACTCGGCGGCACTGGCCATAAGGGCACTGGCCGATCAGATCGCCCATGCTGACAAAATCAGAATCTAGCTTCCTCGGGTTCCGCTCCTCCTCCTGCTCCTCCTGCTCCTCCTCCTCCTCGTTCTCCTCCTCCAACCCCTCCTGCTCCTCCTCCTCCTCATCATTCTCCTCCTCCTCCTCCTCCTCCTTCTCCTCCTCACTCCTCCTCCTCCTCCTCAACGTCCTCCTCCTCCTCCTCCTCCTCCTCCCGCCTCCTCCTCCAGCCTCCTCCTCATCATCCTCGGGCTCCTCCTTCCGCGCAGCGTGCCTGTTGCACTCGGCAGGGGGCCCCACGTCCGGCTCACACTCGCCCCATGTCCCTTTCTAATTTGACTGCGCCACGGACAGCATCCCAGGATGCATCGCACTCCTCCCCCTCCTCCTCCTCCTCCTGCTCCTCCTCCTCCTCCTCCTCCTCCTCCTTCTGGCTTGACGGTGCCACAAACAGCACCTCAGGATGCCTAGCACTCCTCTTCCTCCTTCTCCTCCTCATCCTCCTCTTCCTCCTCACGATCTGGATTAGTGCACGCATGTTTTTCCCGCCTGCCGCATAAGAGGTCCTGCCCATGGGCAAAGGGGGGGGCACGAGGTCGTGCTGAGAGCTCCAGCGCAGAAGTGCCCGTGTCTCTTTCGAACTGTTTTGCACGCAGCGGTCTCCTACAGGGATACTGGGGAACTCGAACTAGATATTCTACAAACATGGAAACGTGGACTGAGATACATCCAGACACTGAAGCGAAAGAGATGGTGGTCAGGGATAGAACAATTGAATGACCACTAGTCAAGACTGGAAATAACTGTGGGTTGCCCCCGATTGCCTTTTCCAGCTAGCCTGTAGTTTAGGAGCCTTCTGTGTCCCGAGCGCTACACGGCGACTGCAGACACGACCTAAGGCTTCCACGGGACCCGCAGCAGAAAAAGGTCCAGGTGAGCACGGGAACTCCGTAAGGTCCGAAGCTCTCCAGAGACAAGGCGTGCAGCTTTTCTACTCTTTAGCATTTGTGGAAATGTGACCTGGATGAGCGCAAATCATTGTGAACACTGCATGCCTTTGGCCATTTTCGGCATCCCAGAAGGAGCCTCAAAGGGCGACGCTTTCGGGCAGCACAGGCCTGCTAGGTCCCCAAGATGACCCAATAGGCTCTCCTAGACTCGTCCAAGAGCCTCCTAAAACAGCACAAGAGGCATCCAAGAGGCATCCAAGAGGCGTCCAAGAGGCGTCCCAAGTACTCCTGAGACGACACGAGGAGCCTCCGAGAGGCCCCCAAGACGGCCTGAGAATCACCCGTCATACTCGGCCGGGCCAACTCACGAAGCGGGGAGACCAAAGATCCGCCCCATGGAGATCGACTGGGTCGCTCGCTCGGGGACCACACACACACACACTTTCTGGCGTCGCGGCCACGCGCGCAGCGGCGCGGCGTAGAAAGGTCGGTGCAAATACACACACAGCACACAGACAACAACCAAAACGGCCGAGCAGGTCCCCAAGAGGCGGGCGAACATCTCTCGACAATTGCGCGACGCTCCTGTCGTTATGGAGTACATATTCCTTCTCTAACACTCGATCACGACGGACTCCACCATATCACGTGACACCAGACCATGCTACACTAGATCCCAACACGCCAGGCGGTGCAGCAAGAATCGACCAGCCCAGACAAAGCCAGTCACTAACAAACCAGGGCACAAATTGAACAAGCCTGAGCAAGCCAGGCCAGATGAGCGTAATCCACTCATGTGTCCGCAGGACTGCCTCTCGCTGAGTGCGGACTCATAGGTGGCTTAGAAAAGAGCACACGTACAACGAGGACAATCAGGAAGGGAGAACATGGCAAACAAGGAATTGCAGGTTGGACAACTAGATACGGGAGAGCGGTGGCCAACAGAGTGTACGAACACACTCAGGGAAAGAAGAAGGATAAGGACACTCGATAAGTCGCACATCTTGGAGTGTCGACATTGCACGCCCAGGCGTCCGCAGACGAACGGGACACCAGGTTGCGCACCAACGAAGACTAACAACACCACATAGTCACGTACGGTCGAGCTTGATTGGAGGGAACACGCGATAGGACACAAGACCATTCCGAGGGCCACATTGTCATAGGAATGCAGAAGGCTTGGGTTGCGAAGCAAAAGACACAAGGGAACTCTTGATTTGAGAGTGGTAACCTACTGATCATATTCGAGTTCATGACACAATGTCAAGCCTCACGCGTCGGATTCGAACGCACGCGCCCAGACGATTGCAGGCTACAGCAGTCAAGCTGATTGAACGTGAGATCACTCAAGGAGTGACGAGATATTTGTCGCTGGATGGGCCAGCGGGGACAAGCGGAGGGTTAGGAATTACTTCAGTGAACAAGGGCCGACCCCAATCTGGGCGTGTGGTTTCTGTTGTGGTATTCCGTTGCATGCCTTAGAATGACATTCCATGACAAACCATCGCATGTACTATCATCGAGATTCCTTGTACAGCCTGGCATGGCCCGGGGCAATGCGAAACCAATCATGGTCACGCAAACTACTGCACAGCATGGCATGGCATGGCAAAGAGTTGCACTGCACAGACAAGCCTTGTGTTGCATTGCATTGCACTGTGCTGTATCGCACTGTGCAGCTTGTCCAAACACTGCTGCGAATCATGTCATGGCACTGCTGGCGTAACGCAGCATTACATGCCATAGTATGCCGAATATAGGGTAGCACTGCGTATCTCGACGGAGCGTTACATATCAGGGGGAATCACATTAGAGCAAGCAACGGCAATGCACATCACATCAAGCAAAGCAACGCGACACATACCACACACGGGAAACAAACAACAAACACCTCCAGAGGAAACCTAGGGACCCTGGAGCGACAAGGAACCCCCGATGACACCCATGGCACCCGAAGGTCCAGAGGGAACGACTGACACATATCGCACTGACCCTCTTGTTCATATGACCCAGAACAATTCAGGCATAATGACATTTGAGAAACTCGCACGTGCAAGCGCCTTGCCCGGCGAGAATGCCCTCGGCTTTATGTCCGACGATGTCGCGACCGTGCTGCGTTCTCTGTGCACGACCTTCATCGAGTCATCACTCCAAGGTACGTAGTTCACTCGCCAGCGCGATTTGGCAATCGGGGGTAACGCCAATCGTTGGACTGAGCCATCCCCGCATCCAACTCCCGCGGAGTACACGGGGGCTGGATCCCCCCAGAAGCCCCCTGCAAGGCGTCGGCGCCCCGTCTGCAGCACCGAGCCCGTGGCATCGCGCACGGTGGCCACTTGGCTCAGGGGCACGTCCGCGACGTCCTCGGCGGCGGTTGCCCGGGGCGCTCTCCCGTCAAGGAGCGACGTCGGGGAGGTTCGAGCTGTGTGCTGCGGGCGGCCAGGCGGATACGTCCGCAAGAACATGTGCTCGTGCGGGCGCGGCGGTGGACAGTTTCCGTCGGCGCAAGTGCTTCCTTCGCACACTGGGCGGGCGGAAGGACCTCGGCTGACGGTCCTGGGAAACCAGGCACTGGGAAAGGAGTGGCGCTAGAAATGCCACAAGGGGGGCTATCCGAGGACACCCGCGGGCGACGAGCGGGGGCACGACCCTGTACCAATGACCCCTGTTCATCGTCGTCGTCATCGTCGTCGTCGTCCTCCTCCTCTTGGCTGCGGCGGAGGGCGGGGCATCACAAAACTGGGCGGCCAGTCGGTGGGGCGGCGGGAATCGGGGGGCCAACATCACATCGCATGGCCTTCAGCTTTCCCGCGAACGTACAAAATCGTGGCAATAGATGTCTTGCTACGCAACTGGCTCGAAGGACCAATATTCGTGGACAGCTGCGGTCCAGCACACTGACCTTGCATCATCCTACAGGACGCCTTGCCCCAATTGCGCAAGTTCGAAATTTGGGGCGGCTGGCAAGCGCAACATGTCGAAAGCACGCGCAAGTTGCTTATCGCAGCTGTGCTGGGTAAAATCAGCTTGTGGCTAACGAATACAAGCGGGGCGCGTGATTTAAAAAATGGTTCCCTTGCTCGGGCAAATCGCGGGCGGGGGCGCCCGCCGCATGGAAACGCACGGCGGCGGCGTTGGTGATCAGCGCCAGCGCCAGGCCGGCAGCAGGAGGGCGACAGGCGCGGCGCAAGCGGCACCGCTTCAGCGGAGGGGGACAGCAGCGCCTGCGCTATGGCGGTGCGGTTGAGCCAAAACGGTTACAGACAGGAGAGAAAACGAGGCGTGGGAAAGGGCGCCTCAGCTGGCGGGCGGTGCCAGCATGGCTACAAACAAGAAGACAGCGGGGAGGGAAGCGACAACAACAGGCGGAACGGGTTTTTCCGCCTCCTTTTGTGCCCTCCCTCTCCACTGCAATATCCGATGGCGACGACGGCACCGACGACGACGACGACGAGGACGAGGACGAGGACAAAGACCACGACCACGAAGACGACGACGACGGCGACGACGACGACGCACTGTGGATGCTCCATGGGGGGCGGGCGGGGGGGGCTGCGCATGCCCGCTGTGCTCGCCGACGACGACGACGACGACAACGACGACGACGAGGACGAGAACGAAGACTAGGACGAGGATGAGGACGACGACGAAGACCACGACCACGACGACGAAGATGACGAAAACGACAACGCGCTGACGACGGCGACGACGACGACGATGACAACGATGACGACGATGACGACGACGACGACGACGACGGCGACGGCGGCGACGGCGACGACGACGGCACGACGACGACGACGATGACAACGCGACGACGGCGGCGACCGACGACGACGCACTGCAGATGCCCCATAGAGGGGGGAGAGGGGGCTGAGCCGGCGCGCCGCAATCGACGACTGGGGCCACGGACCAAGGACCACGACGACGGCGACGACGACGACGAGGACGACGACGACGAAAACGACAACGCGACGACGGCGGCGACGATGACGAAAACGACGACGACAACGACGACGACGATTGTACGACCGTGGCGCGTCAGCAGTCAGCCTGGGAGGGGGAAAAACTCCGCCTCGGATGTCTACGATCCCTGTAACAACACACACACACACATATATATATATATACGACAAGGCAATCGCTCTGAGGCTGCCGTGCAGGGGGGCACACGATCCCCTCGGCGGCGCCCGGCGGCGCCCGCGACGACCCCCTGGCGCGCGTGATTCAAAAATTGGTTCCGCCCCCCGCGGGGTCCATTCATCAGCCCCAGGAGAGGGGCACCAGCTGTTCATCACAAGCTGACTTTATACGGTCGCGCATCCGTCGGCTCCGCGTTCAATCAGCACGTCGTGTTTGCATCAGGCCAGGCAGCACACCGAACTCCCACCGTCCGGATGTCACCGTCGCGCCGAGGAGCGGCAGGGCCACAGGGCAACAGCGTCTTTGCGTCTCCTCAGAGCGCCGTGCGGCACTTCTTCCCCACAGTCGCAGATCCGCCACGCTGATGAGCGGCAGAATGCCTCGGTGGCCCTTGCCGAGGAAAGCGAGAAAAGTGCACACGCACGCCCTGCTCTCCCGAGTCTCCAGAGGCTGCCCGACGCTTCCCCTGGGGCTCTCTCTCCATGAAATGGCCAAGGACACACAAATAAATACACACATGTCACATCTCAGGACTCCGTTTTTCCTATATTTTCTGTGTTTTCGTCTCCCCCTCACTTCCCATATGTTCCAACATTTTCCTGGGAGTCGACGATTAATTGTGTCTGTGTGTTTCTTTCCCTCCTGACTCCAGCATGCTCGACGGCCTCCGAGACGGCCCAGGTAGGCCGCCACAACTTCTGGAACCTGGGCCTACTTGTGGCGATGTTGGGCCCTCTTGTCGAGAGGGCCCAACATCGCCTCAAAGGGCGCCCAGCAGTCCCCACGAATGCCTCAAGGGGCGTGGACGTGGCCGTCGAAGTGGCCCCAAGAGGCTTTCAAGACATCCCCAGCGCGGCTCCCAGGAGGGCCTCGGGAAGCCGACAATAATTTGATGCCCTTCAGACGTTCGGTCGCGCACTGTTCCACTTGCGGTCACCGAGGACCCCAAGAGGGCGCCAAGACGGCCCCCTGAGAGAGCCGTAGGCTGCCTGGAGAAGGCCTCCAGAGAACACCCAGAGGCCCCAGGAGTGTCACAACACTGGCCAAGGAGGAGGGAGGCCCTCACACCCTCCCCACACGGTCGAAACAAAGGCCCACGGCGGCCCGAGGGGGCCCCGAGCTGTCCGTAGCGTCTGCTCGGAGGCGGGCGCCCTGCACCGCCAGTACCCGTCCGATCTGGGCTCGTGCGTCGTGAGCGCACGCCCCAGGAGCCCGGGTCTAAAACGACACGAAGATCGGGACAAAATCGGATCGGGATAACTCGAAATCTCTGAGAATCGGCGGGTTTGGAGGATGTATTGGGCGCCGCGGCCGCTCCAGAGCGTTCTGGAACGCTCTGAGAGCGCTCCGGAACGCTCTGGAGCGATTTATCCCGATCTAGCCCTGTTTTAGGGTCCCGCTCGCCCTGGAAGGGGTGGAGCAGAGCGACGACGACCACGAGAAGGACGAGCACTTTCGATCTGCGGCGCCTCGGATCCGGGCGGAGGCCGAGCTGCAGCAGGGCTGCCGTGGAGAGCATGAGGCGCAGGGGCGGAAGGAAGAGCATGAGGCGCAAGGGCGCGAAGGCGGCGGGATGTACGGTGGGAGAGGGCCGCGGACGGCCGGGGCGCCCGAAGAGCACGAGCCCGAGGCGGGGAGGAGGACGAGGACACGAGTGGAGAGGACAAGGCCTGGTCCGACCGCCCTACCGCAGCGCGGGCACGGGAGGGGGGCAGCGCCAGCCAAAGCCATCCGCGCGGACCTCCCAACGTTTCTGCACGTGCATTTTCTTCGGGGGGCCGAGGAAGGGGGAGGGGGAGGAGCAGAAGTAGCCTGAGGCGCGCCGATTCATCCATAGAGAGAGAGAGAGAGAGAGAGAGGCTGGCGCACTGACTTTACGGAAGGAAGGGCCCCGCCACACTCGCGCAGTGGACCGCTGCAGAAGAGGCCCGAGCGAATGTGACGGAGCGGCGTGCCGGTGCTCCACGGCCCAAGGCGGGAGCACGGACTCGCCGCGACGGTGTCTGCTGTGAGCGCCCCACCCGTGAAGCGCCTCCCCCCACCGAGGAGCGAGCGAGCAGAGGCAGAGAGGCGGCAGGGCCTTAGCTGCCCCGATACGCAACACGAAACACGTAGCGTCTTGGTACGGAGCTCAACACGTAGGCTGAAGACGTAGGTCCGACGCGATACATTCGCCAAAACGTGGCCCAGTACGTGGAGCCAACACGCAATGTATTGACACGGACGTCTTGACCACGGGACGTGTTGCGTATCAAAACGGGCGTATCGAGGCAGCCAAGGGCAGGGCTCGTCCGCCCCGAGGGCGGAGGCGCTCACAGGCCCCCGACCCCCAGGGCGCAGGCCTGGGAGGCCCTGGCCCGCCGCCGCTCCATGACGACCAGGCCTATACTTCTGGGGGAAGGAGCCTGCGACCGCAGGGGGGGCAAGCGCAGGAGGAGCAGGAGGAGGAGCAGGAGGAGGAGGAGGAGGAGGAGGAGGAGGAGGAGAAGGAGGACGGGGAGGAGGAGGAGGAGGAGGAGGAGGAGGAGGAGGAGGAGGAGGAGGAGGAGGAGGAAAAGGAGGAGGAGGAGGAGGAGGACGACGAGGATGACGACGACGACGACGACGACGACGACGACGACGACGAGCACGACGGGGACGGCGACGAACGGTGGGCGTCAGGCACGGGGGCCCGCCGACCGAAGCAGTGGCCCGAGCGCGGCGGCAAGCGGGGCGGCCCCGCGCCGCGGCCGGCGGCTTCCTCGCCGCCCAGGGACCTCACGAGCACGCGCGCCTGTCGGAGGAAAGTGGCGGGTGTTTTTCAACTGTTTCGGTGCCCTCGTCGAGATGAGGACAGCACAGCCAACCCCAACCCCCACCCAGAGATCCACTCTCGACCTGATGATCCACAGGCTCCTGGCTGCGGGTGAGGGCGTCGCTTTGGCCCCCCACTCACACCCAGAAACTACCCCAGCCCCGGCCAGGACCAAGGGGATCACCAGCCTGGGAGTGGGGATGGAGGGTTTCTCCGAAGGGCTTAGGCGACCCGTCCTCCTGCTCCTCCTCCACCTCCTCCTCCTCCTCCTGCTCCTCCTGCTCCTCCTCCTCCTCCTCCTCCTCCTCCTCCTCCTCCTCCTCCTCCTCCTCCTCCCCCTCCTCCCCCTCCTCCTCCTCCTCCTCCTCCTCCTCCTCCTCCTCCTGCTCCTCCTCCTCCTACGAGAAGCAAGGCAATATAACATGTTGCAGGATGGGAGGAAACGTAGGGAGCTACATGGGCATCTCTGGCCAGGAATATCTGGGAGAGGCCACGGCGCGGGATGAGGACGGAATGTCCCCCCTACTGCCATGAACCAGTGGGATAAGGCCGAATCCGGCCCCCCGGAAGCTTGGCAGGGGGATAAGACCATGTGCCCCCCCGCCGCCAACGCATTGACAATTGTTACCTGCAACGCATCGCGTTGAATCCAACAATTGTGTACGCGCTGTCCCGCCCAACCGCCCGTGTTCTACTCTGGCCGCCTTGTTCCATTGCGGTGCGGCCCTGCTCCGGGATTAGTCCGGTCACGTCTGGGATGACTGCTGGACCCCCCTATTGAGCAATCCTGGTCAGGCGAGAGAGATCCTACTACTGGGCGGTCGTTTTCGCCCACGCGCGCTCTGCTGGAAGGCACTTGCAGCGCATCTTCTTGTAGGACGATGGCAGAGTATGCTCCATCGTCGCCGCTGCTGGATCATATGATTTCCAGCCGCAAGCAATGACCCAACCACATGGCGTGGGCACGGTGTGCCCGGCCGCTGTCCTGTGCACGATGCCCGAATTTAGGTTAACCGCGAGGTGGTATTCCGGACTCGCCGTCAATTGCGCGGTGGGCTGCTGCGCGGGGTTGTCTACGCAGCGGGCCAAGCTCTCCTTCAGATTGTCGTACACCTCGCTGGTCTGGTGCACTGCGCTCTCAGGGAGAACACTTTGTTTGGCCACCGTGCGGACGACGTTGTCCACGGCGGAGACCGCTCTGGCTTCTCCTGCCGCGCATGCGACCCGCGGGCGGGGAGACAGGCCACGACGCACCGATTCCTCCAACTCTTCCAGAGTCCGGCCTCGCGCAGCTTGCCGGGCCCACGTGCTCGACACCGTCAGCGGGCCGTTGCGGATGTACCCCAGGACGGCATCGGACCCCCATTTTCCGAAGAGCTGTGCCGCCCACGTGTCAAGCCCCGCGCCAGCCAAGAACCGCGTGCCCGTGACGCGCAAAAAATGGCCAGTCCAACGATGTACGCCGTCCACCCCAGCACCGCGCAGATGGAGAATGTCCTTCGCCGCGGCGATGTGCGCGACCATGACGTCCTTGGTGCGCACGTGGCCCTCGCTGGTAGGAAATAAAAGAAGATCTGCGTCTGGAGTCCCATCCTGGCAGAACCGCAGTGGGAACAACTGCCTCAGCACGCAAACTTGCGCCAACATGGTGTGGGCCGGACACAACACCGCGCCCAGAGCCTCGCCGCATCAGCGCCCGTGAGACCGGGTTGCGCCGAAGGCGGTCGAGTCGTTCTTAGAGGCCGGCAAACACCTCGATGCAACCAAATCAGCTCCATTGCCCCAAAAACGCACCAAACAAGCGCGCGTTGTGCTGAGTTCTACTTCCCGGGTCAACCACCACACGCCCACCACGAGGCAGTTCCGTAGACCAACCGGCCCTGGACAGGGGGCCCAAAACCTCGATTGCACGAGCGCGTGGCGTCCTTGAGCACTTGCATCATACTGCCCGTAAGATGGCAGCCCCGACGCTTGGCTTCCACCCGGTACGTCGATAAATACATGGATGCCGAACGGTACTTGCCCGCCTTCAGCGTCGCCCGAAGTGCACGCACTTTGGCCGCTGTGAGGGGCCACGGTTCCAGACCCCATTGGCGCAGCATTGCCTCGACGGAATGAAGGGGGGCCGCTACCGTTGAGAAGGTGGACGCTTCACATACGTCTTTATCCAGACACTGCAAGGCCTGCTCACGGGCAGCGTCAGACTACAATTGAGGCGTCTTCCCCCTGCCATACGGCGCCCGTGCTGGCGCATCACGGCGTAGGGACGGCCACCCAACAGCGGCAGTCATGACGGACTCGGCCGGCGCTTATGGTTGCGACTCCGGTGCGTCACATGCGCCTGCCCGCCCTTCGCCTGCGATCAGTTCGGCTGTTGCCCTCTCTGAACACCACGCCGGCGAAAATGCCGCCGTCGACCCAGATGAAGATGCCCTCCCTGGCACGCCATTGCCGATGTGTCGCTTTATACCGGCCAAGGCCCTCAAATTTTCGCGTGGGCGCACCTTCCGAAACATCTCGGGGTGCGTCCCACTTATACCCCCTCCTGCTGGGCAGAATTGCCTCGCGCATATATTGCGTGCGCCTGCTGAAGCAAATTGCACGCATGCGGGATATCGAATCGGTCTCCAGCGAATTGTTGGCACTCTGGCGTATCGCTCGCACTCCAGCGCAGAAGACAACGAGGAAGCTGGGACGAAGGAGGGATGGAAATCCCACCAGCCCTCTGGGCGTAGGTGGTTTAGGGAGTTTCCTCGGGGAAGGGTTTATCACGGTTCCCTATTACTATACAGCCCCTCCCCCAGGCGACCGGGAGCCAACCAGGGACAATGCGCCCCCCCCCCCCACACACACACACACACACACACACAATCCCTTTGCAAAAAAACCATACAAAACACACTTCGCCTCGAAATTCGGAGCATGCGCAGCGAACCCGATGCGGCCTCCCCCCACCATTCCTGTCAAAAAAACAGAATACACTTGGTGGCGGCGGCGGCGGCTGCGGCGGGGGCAACGGCTGCGGCGGCTGCGGCGGTGGCAGCGGCGGTGGCGGCGACGGCGGCGACTCGGCAGCGGGGGCGACAGCGGCGGCGGCGGCGGCGGCGGCGGCGCGGCAGCGGCGGCGGCGGGCGGCGCGGCGGCGAAGGAGCGGCGGCGGCGCGGCGGCGGCGGCGGCGGACGGCGGCGGCGGCGGCGGAGGCGGCGGCGGCGGATTCGCCCCCTGTAGCTGCCCATCCAAAAACGACTGCTGCATATGATGCGGCTCGGGCTGGGCTCGGGTGCTACGTATGTGTTGGGAGGGCGGGTGGGAATGAGCGAGACGGCTTGCGGGCGGGGGGGGAGTCTTGACCCCCCCCTACCCCCTCCCCTGCATCTCGACGGGGGATTCCGCGACGCGTTGGAGCGTCCAAAAGGGCCTCGGCGAGGATGTCAAAACCATTGGTTTTACAAGCCCACTTCCATGATTGAGGCACTTCCTCAAGGCATCGTTTCTGGATGGGCTGGTGGGGGTGATTTTTTCGGTCGCGTCCGCTAGCGAAGGCGCAGGCGGAGACAAAAGCTGTCCGGGGCACGGAGGCAGTCCGAATTAACTCCTAGGCGCGCAGCGGTCCGGTCCGGCCGGGCCGGCGAGGGCTGACTGGCTGAGGGCACCCAGGGAAGCAAAAACTGGTGGGGTTACGCGAAGCGTCTAGAATTGAAGCCCCTGACGGATTTTGTCGGCCTTTTTCCCGGCCCCCCGCACTCGAAGGGGGGGGGGGCGAGGAGAAACGGGAAGGGGGAGGAGGGAGGAATGTGAGGAGTTGGTTTTCTGGCGTATTGGTGGACTGGTGCATGAAGGTGGAGGTACGTTTGGACCCCTCCCTGCAGCCGTCTTCGTTGGCCGAGGGGCTGCAGGGAGGTCCTCGGCCCCCTCCGGTGCCTATTGACGGCATAGTGTACTGGTGTAGTAGTGGGAGAGGGCGGGCCCCAGGCAGCCCCTATGATGGCAGCTGCGAGGGGTGTGAGGCCTATGATGGTCCTCACTGGTGAAGCCTATGATGGTCAACACCGGGGGGGGGGGGCGAGAGGGCAAGATGTCGTTGGCGTCGACGGCGAAGGTGATCCCGAAGAACGCGGATCCTGAAGTGGGAGATCCTGTAAGGGGAAAGACTGAAAAGGAGGGGCCAGAAAGGGGGATGGGGCCAGGGGGCGGAGAGAGAAGAGAGGGGGGGAAGAGAGAGAAAGAGAGAGAGAGGGGCAGAGACGAAGACAGATGTGCACGCCTCGGGGGGACGTCGGCCCCGGACCCGGAACATACGAAATACGGAGACTTCGTATCATAACTCAAGGCACGCGGCAAACTCCATACCACCAGAAACGCGCATCTTCTATGCTGTGCTATGCTACTTTTGGGCGTGCCGGCCCATCCGCTAACGCAGCGGCCGAGGGGCAGGCAGGAAAGACACGATAGCATGCACCACAGATTGTGCGCCTGTGATAGGGAGAACCCTCACTCCGAGGAGGTACCCACAACCTGAATGCCCGTAGGTGCGACGTACACCACACAAAGACACACACACACACACACACAGAGCACGCACACACGGAGACACACACGCACACGCGCACACGACCACACCCCCCAATCAGGGGCGCAGAAAGTCCCAGCCCCCCGCGTGCAGCTGATGGGGCGACCCCAGCGGCAGTGGAGGCCTGCAAAGGTCCTGGCAGGGAAGCCTGAAGGAGGGAAGTAATGACGCGGATCCGCTTGGAGGGGGGAAGGGGGAAGGAGGGGAGAGCGGGGAGGGGGAGCAGGAGGGGCGAAGGGGAGGGAAGAGGGGAAGAGGGCCAGGGGAACGGGGGCGGGCTGGAAACGGGGTGAAAGATGAGAGCGGGCCTGGCCGGGGAACCTGAAGCCGAAGCAAAGCGACAGAGGGGGACGATCCAAGGCGGCCCCTGGACAGCTCTCGGCGAGGGCCGCTGCTCCGGACGTGTAG